TTGGGGTCTTTGCCTTGAAAATGACCTTACAGGACATAGTAAATCATATGATCCAAACTTGATTTTCAAGACAAAGACCCCAATTATAAAAATCCCAAACAAAAAATTAAAAAAATTTATACAAAGGTTCTTGAAGACAATCATGTACTGTTATTACTATTATATATTTATTAATCAGGTCAAATCTAATATTTTAGTATGATAATGCCTTTATACATAAGGTAACAGAATGATTTGAATCAAAAAAAATCAATTATAAGAATTGACTATCATGATCCTCTGATCTTAACCCAATAGAGAACATTTGAAAGGTTATAAAAGACAATATTCAAAATCGGAAGAACTTTCTAAGAGATGTGAATGAACTTAAAATAACCATAAAAGAAGCATGATCAAATTTGGATGTGTCAGTTCTTCGGGCTGTTGTAGAGTTAGTACAGCAAAGAATTAAAGCAATAGGGCCGTTCATGCATATATTAAATAAATATAAAAAAAAATTTGATGTATATAAGGCAGGAATTTAATAAATAAAAATTTATTATTTTAATAAAAATTCGAGCGTTACTTTTGTCGTCTACTGTACATATTTATATATGTTATCAGTCATATGTATCAATTCGAAGTAAATCGATATATTTTTGTTTCGAGTTTTAGTGGCAACTAGAGATGAGAGCCGAAACCCGAAACTACAAGTTAGGTTAGAGTTTAGGATATAGTTTAGGGTTTATGACTCTATAGAGGCAACTGTAGTAGGATCGAATTTGACAATTCTTTCAAATTCGGACTTTACTATAAATTTTATATAGTCTGGGAAGTTATATTGATAGTTAAAGCCAAATGGCAGTAGAAATCATTCAGAACTAATGTCTTATGTCTGAAATTATTTTTATCATTACCGTTATTGCTTTTATATGACGATTTGATGAACAATAAGATATCCTAAAGAAGAAAGGCAGATTTGCATTTAAAGCGATCAACAAGAAAATCTGAATTAAAATTATTTTATCTCCATGTGTAAGATCAAGGATTAGATGCAAGTAATTAAAAGCTCATCTGTTGTAATTGAAGTTTGGCAATCATTATTAGAAATATAAGACATAATGCTGGCTACGAATATTACATAAATAATAATTTTTTTTGTTTTTAAATTCAAGAATTTATGATGTTATTCGATTTACTTTGCCGTTTCAAAAATCCTTTAGTTCAAAGGTCTTTTTCCAAAAACCCTTTTTCAATCTTTATTCGACCTATTTCAATAACCTTGAATGCAACCCATGCTTCTGCAAAAGACGCAATTGATGCCTTAGTCGGTCAAGCGCCGGATCCTTGTGAAATTTGTGTATTATTGGCTTCCCGGACTTACTCACCCAAAGAATTAGAACTCTTTCCTAGCTATCTCTTCACTAAATTACGTCCTAGAGTTCTTATTGGTTGTGTGGTCGACAAAGTTTTTACTTCGTCTGATTCCACAGAGTTTGGTCATGGTATTTCGTTGTTTTTGGGCGGATGGGGTAAAAAAGAAAATATGTCGAATAGCTGGAAATTTGATGAATTTTGCGCAAACGTGCAAGGTTCAAGACGAGAATATAAGACTAACTCCGTTGGACGGTGGATTACACCAACCGCGGAAATGAAAAGTAACATGCTGGAGACAAATCAATGGTACAATATTGAAAGATTTCAGTCCGTATCAAGTATACCGCATGAGTTTGAATTACCAAATGAGTTAAAAGTCCTCAAAGAAAAAAATGTCAGGTTTGTTTATTTTGAGATGTTTTTTTCGATTGAAACAGCCATACTAATTATGGATTTTCACGTAAAGTCCGGATTTATTTTTTTTGGTTTCTGATTCTGAACCGTACCAATTTTTAGAATCTTTGGATTATCATTTCCCTCAAAGTAAAAAGGTTCAGTAATTATCCTTTACATTTACCCCTAACATTCTTCCTCATTTTAATAATTCAACATTCATTTCAATCAATTTCTCTTCTGAACCGTAGCTAGGAATAATTGGGTAATTATTTAGCACACATATATATATTGAAACAAACCTTATTAATTTTTGTTCTTGAATCTTTTACAAAAAGATCATCAACACCATTTATAACAGGTCGTCCATTTAGTCTTTTCAAAAATAGCAGCATGCTATCAAGAGGCATCATTGGCATAGCATTTACATTAATGGCCTCAACTTCCACGATAAAAAAACAAATTCAAGTTGATCATCAGGCGTTGTGTTCAATCGGAGAACCATTAAAAATTACAAAGTATTTTTATTTCTTCATCCGCATACGTTCTTGTAGTCTTTCAATCTATATATCAACATTTAAAATAGTTGTCGAGGAAATATTATCCTAGAATTGGATGGCTTAAACCCTACCGACCTATTATTAAAGAGGTTCCGATACAGAGATGTTGACCAGACACTGTCCAAAGAAACCGAATATTATTTAGGTATATACGATATCGAGAATAAACTTGATGTACATATTAACAATTATTTTAAGATAGCTAAAAATTTTTTGGTTGATAAAGTTTTTTTTTGGAATTATGATTAAAACTTGGAACTGGTTTTATTTTTATAAGTTAAACCGATTAAAACAGGCTTAACATATGAAAAATAAAACCGGTTCCAACCCTAAATTATGATTTATTGATTTGTTAAATAGGAATCAATGCTAATGGTTAATAAAATCTTGAGCGGAGATCCTGTACGTGGTAATATAGCTATTGACACTACCAGAAATTTGAAGAATGGACAGTTTGCCAGGGTTCGTTAAAAATCGCTAAATACTGTATTCACTAAGAATTAATTCATATGATAAAAGCAATAAAATCCTAATATTTTTTTTATCATAATAAAATAGTTTATGTACAGAAAAAATTATTCAAAAATCGAACCGATTCCAAAGATTTTTAATCATAACGGTAATTATATTTTCATTCGAAGACTACTAATGAACAATAATGAATAATCACTCATGTTTATTCTAATAAAAGGTATAAACATAATGCTAGCAACATCAGATCAAGAGGAGATGAACTTTTCCGCTTCTTCACCAACAATGAACAAAACGATTATTGAAAGAAATATTTTTGGTGGAATTAGTGAAAATGGAATAATCATTGGAAGAGGCGCTATGAATGAAAATCAAATTGATACTTCTTGGGTGTGCAATGTACCTTATTCTTTTGCTAGTCTATTACTTTAAGATACTCCTTGTAGATGATTTATTGCTAAAATCACTTTGCCAGGTTCTCTACAATTTGAGCAAATTGCTTTATATATACAGTCATAGTCTTATAATAAAATCCTAATGATGTTTTTGAAACATAAATTTGACATTTTATTATTAAATTGCAAACTGTTATTTTAGAGAAAATTTCAAATGCACCATAGTTGTGTTATTATGAGGACGATCATGAATAGAGGACATCTCGCGCGTGGTACATCTCTAATTATGAACCAATTAATGTTCAATTTAGGTCAAAGTTTATATAAAACATAAGCAATAATACCAGTTAACAATACAGTAAAATTATCATCTGGCAGCTTTACTTATTACGTGGGATACCATTTTATTTTGGGAGAAATTTATTAATTCCGACCGGATTTTGTCTACTAATCAGGTCCCTGGGTATACCATCACGTGACAAATATAAAAAATTCAGGTAACTTAGCAAAATAATCATTTTATTTATTTCAAATAACTCCAATTTATTTTCGTCAAATAATTTTTTGTTGCGTCCTGGCACGTGATTTGCATCACTTCCATAATCACTAAAATGTCTGCACAGAAATTGAAAAATTTATTACATTAAATCACAAAATGTCTTAAACCACATACAGAATTTTATGCTTTGTCACAGAAAATCACCTTATTGTTACTGCTGAAATCGTGTGATGTTATTCGTCACGTCCCAAATAGTTTGTCATTACTACTAAAAATGGTAAAATATTTGATGGTGAATAACTTTTATCCGTCTCGAAGAGACGATTTTAACGAGGCTAAAATTGTTGAAATCTAATTATGGAATCCCGAGATAATTAAAAGGTCGTTTGCTATTTTACCCGAGGAAACAACCCTTTAATTATCTCAGGGTTCTATTATTAGATTTCAGCAATTTTAGCCTCGTTAGAAAATATTTTACCATTTTTAGTAGTAATGACGCAATCCGCCCATAAGTCCTGCCTTCATTTCCTGGTTGAAACATAAAGATTCACAGTTCCTTAAAATTCATTATAAAGAGGTTCGTTATGTAGATAGTTGACTGCGCTATTTCTGATGCCATTATCTGAGAAAATGTCATTATCCGAGAAAATGTTAACCATTGTCATTATCCTAGAAAATGTTAACCATAATTGGTGCAACAGATAGTCAATTAATTATCGTTACGCAGAATTGTGATCAACTTTAAAATATAAATCTAGTTAGCAACTGTTTTTACCCTTAAATAAACTTTTATCTTCAAATATATAAAAACAATGTTCGACTTAATAATGACATTCTTTAGCTTTTGGCTAATCGTTCATACGATCGTTCATTTCATACAGCAAAGATTACAGGCAAAAGTATGTATACTTTTTTAAAATTGATTTTAGAAGCCATTCATTTTTTATATAATAACCAAAGTTTCATTTATAGCAAACATTACCAGATAATTCTCGGACATTATCAGTCCTTCCAAGATCATCACGGCAAAGTTATTCTTCGACATTTCACATATCAAATAATCCTTTCAATATACGATTTTCAACTAATGCTTTGAATAATTTTTTTGGATCACTTTCCAAACGAATGCCAAATGTTTGGAAAATATGGTTTAATATTGGAGTATTCGTGGGTATTGTGACTTTCTTTTTTGGTATTGTGATCATGGTTGTGGCGAGTTGGAAACTTTTGATGGGGATATTTGAATTATTTGGATTAAGTTGGATAGGCGAGGCAGAAAATATATCATCAAATATAATAAATAAAAGAAGCTTTGAAATATCATCAAATATAATAAGTAAAAGAAGCTTTGAAGATCATGTTCAACACGATGTCAGTGATGAGAATAATCAAGTATTTATTCCTGTGGTAAGTAAGAAAAAAAAAGTATAATTATTTTAAAATTCATTGCCAAACTGATGATTCAAAATCTTAAAACTATTTAGATTCCTGGTATTACTTTACCAATTTCACACTTTTGGTATTACCTTTTGGCACTTCTGATGTGCGGAATAATCCATGAAGCCGGACATGCTCTTGCCGCCGCAAAGTATAACAAATTATGTACATGTAATTATTATGGTTAACTTTATATAACACTCTTTTATTTACATTTAAAGTGAGCGTCTTAATATCAAATCGACGGGAATATTCTTATATATCCTTTATCCAGGAGCTTTTGTAGAATTCGATTTAAATGAATTGAAAGAGCTTGCACCTCTTAGACAACTTCGCATAATATGTGCAGGAGTGTGGCATAATGCAGTCTTATTCCTTTTGGGTACACTTATACTTAGCTCTGGAATATTGTCGACGTTTATGGGTTACACCACTTGGAGGCTAGTGGACGGTTTCGGAGTCAGTGTCGTTTCTGTTGAAAGAGTATGTTATAATCGTTATACATTCGATTGTATGAATATAATAATATCCACAGTTTCTTATCATATTTTTATTTGGTAGGATACTGCGTTGTCTGCTTATTTAAAACCTTCGACGTTGATAACGAAATTAGATGATTTCGACTTGTCAGGGTCATCACTAGATAGTTGGAATGATTATCTTTTACAAAATGGAAAACTGGATCTTGACTCTATAGGATTTTGTGCTTCAAGAAGGGGTGCAACATCACTGGATTGTTGTGATATTTCTGCAGATCATCCTTATGGAAATGCACAAGATAATGCGACATCATGTTTTAAGAGAATTGATGAAAACAGTGCGCATAAGCAGGTTTGATTTTCCGCCTTTTTTAATAACTTTTATCAGAACCATCCTTTTTGACAAAAGTATGTCCTTTCAAGGAGTTAAAATGTTTGCCAACAATACCAATTCTCGTAAATATTGATGCACAACGCTGCCTTCGTGATATTGATTGTCCATCTGAATCATCAATGTGTGTTTCACCATACACACCAAAAGGTTATCCGAAACCTTTAAGAATATTTTATAAGGATGCACCATGGGTTCAAGAAAATAATGATCAGGAGAAACTTGTATTGTATCTTGGAGAACTTGTTGATGTGTGGGAAATTGGTGAGTTTTCAGAATATAATTTGCAGAAGAAATTTTGAAATTTCATAAACCTTATATCCATCGGTGTTTCTCACACACATATAAATTAAAATTAGTACAAGTTAGTATTCTTCAACCCAGGTGGTCATGGGTACCAACATGGATTCCATTATCTATTGAGTTGATTTTACGGTAACAAAATTTCAATTTATTTTGATGTCTCAACTGAATGATTACTTATAATCTTAATATTGTATAAAATTATTTTAGGTATACTATTTCTTTTTCACTTGCACTAGGTGTTCTTAACATATTGCCAGCATTTAAATTAGATGGGCATTATGCTTTAATTGCACTATTACTTTGGGTATCTGGAGTTGATTATGACCTAGATGAAGTTGTCTATACTAGTAAACGTACAGAAAGAGGGCGATTAGGAAAAGTAATCATTTTCTTTGTTACGGGCTTGGTTGGATGGGTTGTTATAGGAACTTTATTTTTTAGTCTGTTTGCTAATTATAATAAACATTTGTAAGCTTTATCAACCACTGACATTTTGTTATATGTTTAATTATTTTTGGTACATATTATATGTTATGTAGGGTTATTGCATATTTATTTCAAATAAGAGAAATCAATATTTGTAGAATGATTATATAGTAAATACTACTTTTTAGCGTTCTTATTGTATAAGCTATCGTTTAGTCAGTGTTATGCTACAGAATACTAGAAAATGACTTTAAATTAAGCATCCATTTGATTGATTTTAATTTATATGATAGAAAGTTCTTTAATTGTGAAAAGTCATCTATCAATATAACAGATACTCTTACAAGATAACCAATTTAACAGGTCAAAGCCAGTGTAACGATAACGAGTTGATTAATGCTAGTAAAGTTGTTACGCATAGCAGAAACTTTGCCCCAGCCCATTTACACGGTTCTTTTTTTTTTAATTACTAGATTACACAAACTCATGCGATCTATTAATGGCTTTAAAAATCCAGGCCTATGTAACGAAATTTTATGTTAATGACCAACCGAATTTTTGATAGTTATAAGTTTGAGTAATACATGCGTTTCTTCATACGATTAATAAATTACGTTATGATGGAGTATTGACGGTAAGTATGAAGTCATGGATAAGAATATCTTTCTCTTTTTATCTAAGCTCTAAGTGTTTATTGCCTGGCCGAGCAAGCCGAATATCAATAAGGAATAAATATAGGACGGGAAAAGGGTTATTTGTTAAAGTTACCAACTTCGCGAAATACCAGAAATTTGGATAACACTAAGGTTAGGATTAGTTTTGGGTAGGATAAAGACCTAACATAAAGGTAAATCATATTTTTAACACTTGCATAAAAATTATAGAGTTGCATGATCAATTTTAGTGATTTATGGTTTTTTATATATATATGATTTGACAAATGCCTATTTTCAGATTGATCCCAGAGTTTGAGACCTTTTTTACTCACTCGGTAAGATATTCATATAAAAATAGGCAACTCTTTTTTAACCTTGAGTTTAATAAACGTAAATGAATATTATACTTTTATTTTCCTCACTGTCAATTAAAAGAACGTTAAGGTTATGATCTCAGAGAGTACTATTTCTATTTTTTACCATGCATATGTCGTGAATCAGGTTAAAATTTACATCGGACCAAAGTTTAAGATGTGAAATTTACTACGTAGTAGGTTTTAATTTGATGCTTAATATCAGTATTGTCATTGGACATATGTCCACCTAATTTTACTCCTATCCATTCCTACTGCTGATTCTAATATTATCTGAAAATTATCATGCATGTATTTGTATGTTGTAAAGAATAGATTGGGGTCACTATGTTTTTATAACAAAACGCAATCAAACTTAGAACACAATTAAGACTTCTTGAAAAGAAGACAAGGAAGATTTGGTCTGAGAACTGGAGATTCTACTGCCGCTAGGATCTCTAGGTATATATTGATTCACTCTTTCCTCCTTCTAACTACATGAAAGCTAAAGTTTCATGCCGTAATAGGTTTACTGGAGTTGGAGCGTTGCAACCTTTAGTCTTGTAGTTGTAATTTTTTTCCGTAATAGGTGCAAGGCAACGGATATAATGGTCTTTATGCTAATAAGCATTTGCGCGACACAGTACACTAAACCAGATATTAATAATATCGATATTCTGTAAAATATATTATTATGGAATTAAATATTTCAAAAAATCCAAGCACGTACGTATACCGATACACATGTAGGCGCCAAATAATCATGTGCATTGTCAAATAGCCACTCTATAATACGCCTGTCCATGTTAAAAGTATTCTGATTGGCTTTCTGATACAAGCATACAAACATGAATACTTCCGGGTTTTAATTCTTCGAGTTTATCAAACCTCTGGAAAATTTGATTGAATAGCAATAGTGATAGAATGTAATCATTAGATTTAGATGTGTATCAATTGGTCAGATTTTTTAGTGGCTAAGTCATCGTTTTTTTTCTGATGGCACTTGAATGCAAAAATCTTTTGAAAATTTTAAAGGACAATTTTTATTCACATGTACTGTTATTTGTTATCGTTAATTTGTTAAGCTATACACGTCTATAAGGACGTGTGAAACACAATTATGTTTTTACAACGATGCTATGAATAGACTTGTAACCGAGTCTCAGCTTAACCGAAGTGATTTTTCGCATTTCAAATGTAATACACTGAATTTTTGCTAACAAATCAATTTAAAGCATATTAATATAAACCTTCCGTTATATTTTGATTCTTTAAAAGTAATTTTCTCAATTGATTCTATGACCATTCAACCTTACAAGCTTTAAATTATTCCAATTGTGCATCTAAATTAATTACGTATTATAAATTAGACAATATCGATATAATTACAATAAGTTAGAATGATTTATATCATATATATATGTTATAACGAATGGAAGAATTAAATAATATTTGTACGTACCATATAATGAATTTTCAATTACATATGCAGATATGTTGACCAGATGCATAAAACATTCTCAGAAAGTATTATAACGTGTATAAATTAGTTACCCAGACAATTGATTCTAGTCGACCAATCGTAAATGACAAAATACAAACATTGCTGATCTTGTCAATGAATATGGTATACAGAATTTAAGGGCATTGGGTACATATAATAAAAATAAAAGTAGTTACCGCCAAGACTTTTGGATGCCGTCTTTTACTCGACTTGAGTGATACTAAATATACCTAAATATTTGGGTAATGGAGCAACACGCGAAATCTAAATCATTTTCTAACGGTGATATCAAAACAGATATCAAAACAGAAATATCACCACATAATGGTAATAAAATAACGACAGTTATCTGTTCGCCTAAACTTAAATATATTGCGACATCGAGTTCGACTAAGGAAAAGCGAGATTTCATGATTGTGGTGTGGCCAGTCATTGGTGATGGAAACACATTACATCCAGAATCGAGCACCACTTTTCGACAATTTATTAATGATGATGGTGCTGTAAATCATAAATTGCGATCTGTCTCTGATAATCGTTTAGTTGTCGTAGAATATACTAGTCATAATGAACCTAGCATACGTGTTTTTGGTAAGTAAACACTACAGTCAGTGCTAATTATAACTATATCTCATAAGTAGATTATACTCGCTCTTAAATCTATTTAAAACAATTCTTAATTTCATTACAACTTTTATTCATTTTATTTTTCAGTCATTTTCGATCTTGTCCGGGGCTGTCATATCAAGGTTCCGGGGATTCCTATGCAATCCCACTATCATTTATTTGAATGCGCTTTTCTTGACAATGGGGATTTAATAGTCATTAATGATACAGACGTCTTTGTGTATACTGTTAATTTTTTTAGAGGTCAAAGTTTATTAATATGTAAAGCAGCTTACGGGTTTACCCACCGTTATACTAAATGCTTAATTGCTAAAGTTGGAATATTAATACCTGCTTGTTATAAATACGAATATAAAGAAGATGATATTAGAACTCAATGGAATCTCGAAACGGGATCTTTTGTGGCTCAAATGCCTATGGATTTTAGAAGTGTAGAAGATTCTGATGGGCATGATGGTCTTGTACGAAATAGCGATAATACTTTGCTTGCATCATATACGTGCGTAGGAAAGCCTTTAAAGCGAATCCTTAATGTTTATGCTGCCGAAACCGGTGTAAAACTTTTTTCATGTAAGAATTATAAATATTTCATCTTAATACATCTATTAATATCTAATCAAAATTTATTATTTCTTATAGATCTTCTTAAAGACAATCAATATGGCATTGATTTCGTGCGCAGCGGTACACATTTATTCGTTCCATCATTCACTAAGTACACAAAAATCGATGATCCGCCGGTTATCGATCTTTTGACATTTATAGATCCATCCTCGTCTAACTGTCCCGTAAATGTTTCTTTAAAGAAATCTGCCGATGAATTTAACGTGCCATTAGAATTTACTCCTCGATTGATAAATAAAAATAAGGCTATTGGAATAGTAGATGGACTTGTACATGTTCGTGATATTTTTCAAGCAAATTATTCACGAAAGGATGCTCATGATTATAATAAGATCTATTGTCAAAATTTTATGGAAGGAATAGCTGAGAATATTAAACACTACTTGGGATTTAATAATTCAATCACTTCAAACTATAACAAAGTTTATTCTGGCAATAATATTACCTGGTCAATTTTTGACACACAAAATGGTGAAGAACTCACTGCATTCATTCTCAATAAAATCACTTATTATTGGGAGCCAGTCAGTACAAGACGCGGCTTTTATTTCAATAGAATCGATGATAGATTAGCTGGTGGGATCCAAGATTGCAGGATACTATCTAATGATGATTTGATGGTTGTTAATAGAAGCTTTATATTGATATTTACGCTTGACAACGAACATAAAATACAAATAAGTTATTGGTGGAATAGGTATAGTTTAATTTCTGGTGACGTAAAACTGGATCACTTAATTTCAGTTCGATATTTTGAAGATATTTTGAAATACTACGAAGTTGAGATGGAAAATGGCAAAACAAATGAGATATCATATCCTCTTCATGAGCTGATCGAAAATAAGATCACGGATCTGTTATTTTTTATGCTACATGCTCCAAAAATTTTAAAAGCAGCAATCAAATTCCATAGGGGTGATGTCGTTGAACTCGTTTGTGATCAATGTATGGAATTTTTCAAGGTTAATCAAAAAAATCTCGCAATCCTTTCAATATTATCGAGTGTTTTATTCAAGCTTGCAAAGTATTATCCCGGATGTGTTAGTAAATTTTTAGCTCAAACTACTTTAGTAATGAAACCTATGGATCACTTGCATATTCATTCCACATCTTATCCTCACCTTTACACATATACTTTAGAACATCATATGTTTGAACTCAATAGATTTTCTAAATTTTATTTGAAAATCTATAGATTATCTAATAAGTTCATACTAGATTTACGGACTTCTGACTTGTGGAATAGTAGTCTTGAATTTCTTGGTTATAGTATAAAGTTTAAAAGACCTGCTCTTGATTTATTTATACCTTTGTCAAAATTTGCTTCCTATCCTGTTGAGTATAATTTTTGGAAGGAACTCTTGGGTAGACCACAAGCAAATGGCTTTGTGAAAATGCAAACAACAGAATTATATTCTGATTGGAATGGAGAGGCCTTACTTAATTTTAAATGGAATACCTTTGGGAAATATTACTATTTTTTTAACTGGTTTGTCTATACAATGTTTCTTGGGACCTTTGCTTTCGCAGTTACGGATCCAAAAGATTTCATCTCAGAACATAATCAAAGAATTCTCCTATGGTTCTCAATTTTCTTGGGATTTTATCATTTGTCATTTGAAATACGACAATTTATTTTTAATTGGAAAGATTATATCTTGAGCTCTTGGAATTTTTTCGGTATGCTGATTTCAATATTCCCAGATCATTATATCAAGATCATGAGAAATTAACGAATAATACTCCAAGTCTTATGCGTACAAGCGGGAATGAAGTTTCGCTAATATTCAACGGCTTAGGATACTATTATTACTAATCATTAAGTTAACACAAGTTCATAACACTCAACATTTACTTCATAGATCTAGGTGCATATATTTTTCCGGTTGCTACTTCCATATACTGGCTAAACCATGGTCCTCCTCCGTTATGGGCACCAGCGATTTCCAATTTATTTCTTGACCTAAAATTTTTATTCTTCTTACGACCTTTTGAGTCTTTTGGCGTCTACTTTGCCATGATTACTGGTGTTGCCCGAAAAGTATTCTCCTTCTTAATAATTCTGGGTTTGATCCTTTTAGGATATACTCATGCTTTATATACATTACTGCAACCGATTGAAGAATTTGATGAATCTAAGCCAATATATAATGACGATAAAAACAATCCTTGGAATCTTGTTTCAACGTTCTATCGTATTAATTCTCAAGGCAATATTATTCCGAAATCAGCATTTATCGAGCCACCAAACAAGAATACAAATATGTATGCCAATTTTGGTACTGCGTTGATAGCAGTATACCAATTAATGACTGGTACGTCATTCATCTATTTACCCTAATTTATAAATAAATGTGTTGATAAGTAATAATTATACAAATAGGTGATACGGGGTCTCTTTCAAGCTGGGAGTATAGTGAAAATTTTCCTTTGGTTTTCTTAATGATCACATTTTCTTTCTTCACTGTTATCTATTTACTTAATTTGTTCATTGGGTTACTGAATAACGCGATACAAGAAAATGACAATAAGGCATCATTCTTGATTCAAAAAGCAGAGGTTTTTAACCATATTTATTCTAGTGCTATTGTTTCTTATTTTATATGATGTCAGTATATTAACTACTTTTATAATGTATAGATCTTGGCGGAAATTGAACTGTTTTCTCTGTTTCCCCAACAACGTAGATGGAGGCATTGGTTTCCAGACTACATGTGAGTGCAACCGTTGCTTATTGCTTATGTTTAAGGTACAGTGTTAAATAATATTTGTTTTATCACAATAGCTATTATAAGGCACATGTGGATGAAGTTCGAAGTAAAATAAGGGAAATAAATGGACATGATTGGCATGGTGTTGAGAAACCAATTTTGCACCCAGAACTTTTAAAACTTATTGGTATGGATAAAAGTAGATTCAAGGAATGCTGATGTATAATAAGCACAAAACAACAAAAAAAAAAAGATATAATATAATCAAATTCATATTTCTCATACTTCATTAGCTTAAAATGTTGTGCAGATTTATCCATGATATATGCATTTATTAATTTCTCCCTCACTTTTATTGGCTGGAATTAGTTATATATCACTTTTTTTAAAATTTGGCACTTCAGTTAGAGTTACATTACGTTTAGTACGTGACGGTGATTTCTAAGGCTAAATTTCGAGATTCACGCTACATCAGATCTTGTCCACGTGATTGATGCTGATTGACTAGAATCCGACCAAAATTTTGATTAACTGTTTCCCTGATATTACCATCAATAGAAAACCTGCCATCGGGCTTTCAATTATATTTTGTCCAGTTTACTTTCAGGGAAAATTTATCATCGGACTTTTTGATTATATTTGTAATGACTTGTTACAAAATATAATTGAAAGCCGAAGATAGATTTTCCCTAGACGACAAACTGGACATAAACTATAATAGAAAGCCCGATGACAAGGTTTCTTTTGATAACACTCATTTGGCAAAATTAAATGTATTGACTTAAAATGACACGTGCCGACTTTTCAGATGAAAAATTTGGGCATGCTCCTTTAATACGGTAAATTTACTTTATTAAATTGAATAAGGAGATAAAATAAAATAACTAAGAGGCACATTATGCAATCGCTTCTCTATACCGAACTACAGTAGTTCTAAAGATTTTTGTTGGTTAGAGCAAGTTTGCAGGTCATAATGAAAGTATTTGAGCGGGTAATACATACAAACTAAAAAAGAGGGACGTCTAAAACCGTGTCCAGTCATATGTTTTTGATTTTTTTAATTAAAGTTAGGGTAAGGATTAGTTTGGTTAAGGTTAGGGCATGTCTTATAGTAAAAATATCCACCTTGATGTATTAATAAAAAATGTCGGGAGGATTTAGATTTTCACTCTTCGGGTGATCACGTGTCTATCGAAATAAACAATTCTATCGCTACCCAAGATTATTCTTTCTATTAAGTCTTGTTAGTAGCCCACATCTCTCTTCATTGTTAGTTCTTGTCACAGTGTTTTACAGTTACCAAGGTTTTTGCGTTCTATTATGCAGTTTTTAATGTTCATAACAGATTACTATCAAGCATATTATTGGTTGATATATTTTATTTATTTTATTTTTTTTGATATTAAGATGACCTCTTTGGTCATAGCTTTTTATTAATACTTATATCAGTACATGTTTTATATAGACGTATCTATAATGAACTATACAACTAGTTACACATGTAACTTTTCTATTTTACCTATTTAGGAGTCCATCTGAAGGTTCCCTACCAGTTGTCATACCTAACACTTCTGCTTAGATGTTTCATTTAAACCCTCTGATCTGATTTTGGTATTAATTTCATCAGATCACAGACTCAGATCTATTCATTTTTAACCATAAGACTATAATCTTTAGATTATTTTTATTCTCAAAGTAAATCTACCAAAGTGAGTCATATTCCTTTTTACTGCTAACCTGGTTTGATACTATGGTTAAGATCAACATTTGCAGTCAGAGTTACCTCTTAAACTGCTATTACTCTTATAAAGTTTACCCAAACCCTGGTATCCATCTTTCTGATTTCTTCATCATCATTTTCTACTATCTATAACTTAGAATTAATCAACTCCTTAGACTTCCAATTCAGATGACCTGGTATGGTATACTTATGTATCTTTTTTTTTCAATGATTCTGGTAGCCTGTATTAGGAAAATTTTTAGATAGTTTCTAATCAATATATATCAATTGAAATATAATGATATATATTAGCAGGATAGTTATAAATTGATATATATTAAAATCAATATATATCGATAGATGGATATATATCAATATTAACAAAAAATTGATTATGATTAAAATTATTTAAATTGATACATATTATTATTTACAAAAAAATCGATAATTTTTGATTTTATTTTAATCAGTATATATTATTATTTACAAAAATTCAATTATAATTGAAATTATATAAATCAATACTTATCATTATAAAAAAATTAATTATTTTCAATTTTATTTAAATTGATACTTATATAGACTTATTGTTATCTATCAAAATATAATGTACATAATATACACTTAAATATCAATGTATTTTTAAATTAGAAAATGAAACTATTCAATAAATATTCATTTATTTTATTAAATCTTGGGACTATATGTACTGTTTTATCAATGCTATCTAATGATATACAACTATAATGTTTAAATAACTTCAATTTAAGGCATCCTTATAATTCACCAAATTCCTTATACTAACAGACTAAGGTGACTCTAGTGGTTCTTGATTTGTTTAATAAAATTTAAGTATAAGAAGTATCTTGAAATAATATTTATGTTATTAATTTATCCTCAAAGTATCATTTTCTTATAATCATAATTTACTATTGTTAGACAAATTTTAATAAAAAAAATTGAATTGAACAACTGTTCGATACATATCAAGTCATATCAATTTATTTCTTCATTATTTTCATAGCCACTAACCACAATATTTGAAAACATAGAACTTTTATAAAAATTAACAATAATATGAATTATGTTTGTACTTTTTAATGAAACTAAAGAAAATACCTACATATGATTAAAATCATTAAGAGATGAAATTGGTTTCTCTTCAAAAAATTCATTAAGACCAGTTAAAAGATTTTGAAACCCTTCAAATTGTAATGGATTCAGATTATTTTTGTTGTTTTCAAGAAAATCGTCCAACTTATCTAAACTTGAAGTCCATATAGGGTTTTCAAACCCTTTTACTTAGTGATATTTCTTTTTAGTTTCTTTTTTAGTTAACTTCTGTCGTATAACTTAATATAATGATTATTTACAATTAAAATTATATTTTAATCAAATAATATATTGTAATATATAACAAAGTAATAACTTAATTACTAGATAATATATGTATTTAAATATATTTATTAGTGAATATATTTAAATATATATATTATCTAGTAATTAAGTTATTACTTTACCATATATTACAATATATTATTTGATTAATATATAATTTAACTAGTGCATAGTGATAGATAATAATTAGTACTAGATTTATAAATATACTGTCCTTAATATTTGTTTCATATAATATTTTTTGTTTGATATACAATAAGGTCTTTTTACATAATTCTTATAAAGAGTTTTATAAGTTTCCATAATTATACTATTTATTAATCCATATTCTTGAATTGCAAGTATCATATGATAGCATCAAGCATGAAGCTTAAGTAATTAAAGACTGCTTTGAGAATATTCTAAAATATTTCAACAAAATTTTTTGCCCAATCCATAATGAAAGACTATGAAGTTAATCATTAGTAATCAGAATTTATTGAAAAAATCTCTTTTATTCTATATCTGAAGCAGATTACATAAATCTTAAGTAAATAATTCTTTACAACTAGCAATATATATTTGAAGAAATTTGTAATAAACTTGGCATAGTTGTTTATTACTAATTCCTAGCCTTCTATAACTCTTATATAGGTTATCAAGAATGAAAATTATTATTTTCATTATATTTTACAATTTACCAGCCATCATGCAAGTTATATTTGATATGTTCTTTATTATTTTAAGGCCATAATATTGAGGAATCATAAATAATTGTTATTCAAAGATTAGAAGTATTTGGCTCTTATATTGCTTATATAAAAGTTTTTTAATAAATTCTAGCATATACTTAAAGAAACCAAGATTCAAGATGTACATTCGATCAGGTATGATAGCATTATATATATTGAAGTTTCTAAAATTTGTTATTTATAACAATATATATTATTTATATAATAAATATAATAACAATAAACTAAAATTTATATCTTATGTTCCAAAATACATTTTTTTTAGGATATATTGAATAACAATAATTATTATTATTATCTATCACTTGCTTTATAGTTGTTGGATTTTTTAGAATTATATCTGTTAAATTAGTATTATTCAAGTCATCATTTAATACTAAGCATTTTCTACATGGCCATCTTGCAGAAGATGATTAATACATATTGGCAAACTTATTGGCTTCAAGCATATCAGAAATAATAAATGATATTTATGGAATAAAGGTTATTATATTTCTACATATAACAAAGTGAAGCTCCAACTCATTAACAATAGGCTTGAAAAGAATTGATATACACTTGTGGAAGAGTTCTTGTTGCATTTTTCAGAAATTATTAAAATCTCTCATTTTACTATCCTTGGCTTTCATAATTGAAAGGAATCAGACTAATGCTTTGAATTATGATTTATTTCTTTGATGATTTGAAATATTACCAAGTAATAAAAATATAGGATGTCTAGAAGATTTATCTATATGGTTTAGAGTTGTCACATCAGAGTAAAAAATAAGTGATAGCAATCATTGCCTAACAAGTAATATCGATTCTTCTTGCTTCCACTAATTAATATTGTATTGTTCTTCAAAAATTCAATGTTCTACATTATTATTTATTTCTTTTTTATCATCTTATTGAAGAACTAGTGACTGATTAATACTATCGATCATTAACAAAGACTTAATAATCTTAATTAATGATCAATAGTAAAATATATATTTTACATTTTGAAATATTAATATAGAAATTTCTTTAAACATTATATGAGGAATAGTAGTATTATCAAGAAATTTCTTTCTAGCCTTTGTTGATGATAGAAGTGGTGAAATATCCAAATTTGAGAATTTGTTAAAGAGCTTTATAATAGCATCATTTACTGAATTTGAAAGTTGATATATATTAATTAATTTCATAGAGATACAATATGTATCATTCTCAACCTGCTGAATTTGAAAGTTGATATGTATTAATTATTTTTATAAATTCATAATATGCATTATTAGGCTACTCAATGGTTTGTGAATGATTTAAGTTATTAAAAGCATTATCAAATGAAGCCACTTCATAGTCTTCAAGATCACTTTCTAAAGCTTCAAATAAAATATTATTTATTG